TTTTTTGTTTTAAATTAGTTTTTATAATTAAAAATATCACAATCCAAAACAAATAAACTGTTTTTACCCAAGGTGAAGTGTCAAATTTGAGAGATTAATGCATTTTGCTAAACCAGAACCTAAGCCTGATGCACCCATTGCACCAATTTAATTAACCCTTTTTAAATATTGAAGAAAAAATATATCATTAAATAGTTAATTAGAAGGAAAAAATGAAGAAAAAATATGATAAAAGCAAAAGTTTAAAATAAATGATGAGCTTAATTAACAAAGAAAAAACAAAAAAAAGCAAGCACGATAAAAAGAAAAAGAAAAAAGAACTTTATTGTTTTAAATTAGTTTTTATAATCAAAAATATCACAATCTAAAACAAATAAACTGTTTTTACTCAAGGTCAAGTGTCAAATTTGAGAGATTAATGCATTTTGCTAAAGATGAACCTAAGCTTGATGCACCCATTGCACCAATTTAATTTCTACTTTTTAAATATTCAAGAAAAAATATATCATTAAATAGTTAATTAGAAGGAAAAAGTGAAGAAAAAATATGAAATAATAAGATTAATTAATTAATAATAAAAGCAAAAGTTTAAAATAAATGATGAGCTTAATTAACAAAGAAAAAACAAAAAAAAGCAAGCACGATAAAAAGAAAAAGAAAAAAGATCTTTATTGTTTTAAATAAGTTTTTATAATTAAAAATATCACAATCCAAAACAAATAAACTGTTTTTACTAAAGGTCAAGTGTCAAATTTGAGAGATTAATGCATTTTGCTAAACCAGAACCTAAGCCTGATGCACCCATTGCACCAATTTAATTAACCCTTTTTAAATATTGAAGAAAAAATATATCATTAAATAGTTAATTAGTAGGAAAAAATGAAGAAAAAATATGATAAAAGCAAAAGTTTAAAATAAATGATGAGCTTAATTAACAAAGAAAAAACAAAAAAAAGCAAGCACGATAAAAAGAAAAAGAAAAAAGAACTTTATTGTTTTAAATTAGTTTTTATAATTAAAAATATCACAATCCAAAACAAATAAACTGTTTTTACTGAAGGTCGAGTTTCAAATTTGAGAGATTAATGCATTTTGCTAAAGATGAACCTAAGCTTGATGCACCCATTGCACCAATTTAATTTTCA